TATATATCCTACTGTTAGGATCTAGGACAAAGAATTATATTCTAGCCATGAAAATACATAATATGAAACTAACTAAAAATTAGTTATTTAATCACTAATTAAATTATGCAGTAGGTATATATAAGATCAAACCTAGGGGAACACAGATACGACAGGAGAGTCAAAACAAATTTGTATAATCATGATAATCCATTCAGGAAGTGACATTTGTTCTGAAATTTTTCTAAATGAAATTAACTTGATGAATGAGTAATAGAACATTCTACAAAAAGCGAATCAGAAAGAAATGACACATGCAGAGGCCCCGGATGAGAAATCCAGTGCTTTTCAAGGACTGACAAATAAATCACAATGGCTTCTCTGCAAAAACAAAACAAACAAACAAAGGTTCTCAAGAATGAGAGTCACGTGAGATGAGGCCAGAGAGGTCAGCAGAGGCTGGGACATATTGTGTCTTTTTAGCTATTGGACAAATCAAGGTCATTTTAGAAAAGAAAGTTGTGAGCCATAGAAAGATATTAAGTAAGGAAATACTATAATCAGATTTGGGTGCTGTAAGAGAAACCCAGAAGGGAACAAAGGATGAATTGAGAGAGACTGGTTAGTTTGAACTCGAAATTGTGCAAAAAGCTGGAATTGAAGGACATTTATGAGGTAGAGACAGCAGACTATGACTGGACTTAGTCATGAGATGAGAGAACTCTCACTGGAGAATTCCATTTTTTGGCACTGAATACAAGGCAGAGCCATCCACTGATACAGGAGACCTGGAAAATGAGCACAGAGGATGTGATGGGTTCTATTATAGGTGACGCATAATCCTGATTTTCTGTGATACCCTTAAAAGATGGACACTAAGGAATAATTTGTAGTAGGGTAGCCATACACTCAAGTTACTATTTCCAATGACTTAGTATGTTCAGGGCACTGTTCTGTGCAAGATGAGAATGTCAAGGTGACTTGTCCCTGGATTCTGCACTCAGTAGAATACAAAAAGGGAAATGAGTCATGAATAGCACAGATACAAGGCAAAACCATACTGATCTCCTGTGAGATTCCTTCCCTCTTCCATATAACCAAATCTTCCAGTGAGAGGTATCAGGGGAAGCTTCTCAGGGGCAGAAAAGAGAAACAGCAGAAGGACATATCTAAAGGACTGAAATGATAAACAGCAGCAGGAAGTCTATACAAAAGGCAGGTTCATCGCCCTCTTTCTTCTTGAAGAGTCAGAAAGGGGTTGAAAATATTCTTAATTCACTGAGTCTCATGGAGAAGGTGAATTGACTGTTTAAATGGTCAGACATGGTCCATACTTTTCACCTGTGAAAGTCATTCATTTCTTGAGGTCGAGGAAAAGATTCTGTTCAATCTCTTTTATCTTGGCTGTGTAAACTAAAGGAAGAGTCAGTGGCTTAATGAAATAGTTGTTGGGTTTAATCAGCCTTTGATGGCAAACTTGCTTTCCAATTACAGTGAACAAAGTTTTCCAAATGTCGTTTCCTATAATAAACATTCATAGTCTCAGTAATAAAGCCAATAGATCTTGAAACAATTAAAATGAACTTTCAATGTAATGAAAAATTTATTTTCCTATCTAAACAGAGAAAAATTCAAAAGCTATAACCCCATGTACCGACCAATTAAGTATGACATAAATGTCGTGATAATAAGAAGGTAAAATGTCTGGTAACCTTACCTCTTTCCTATGTAAACGAATCAATGAAGAATACCCTTGAAAACATTTGTGTTAGTAGCTTCTTAAATTTGTTCTCCAGAAAATCAAACACCGCATGTTCTCACTCATAAGTGGGAGTTGAACAATGAGAACACATGGACACAGGGAGGGGAACATCACATACCGAGACCCGTCAGGGGGTGGGGCTAGGGGAGGGATAGCGTTAGGAGAAATGCCTAATGTAGATAACGGGTGGATGGGTGCAGCAAACCACCATGGCACGTGTATACCTATGTAACAAATCTGCACGTTTTGTACATGTACCCCAGAACTTAAAGTATATTAAAAAGTTGTTCTCAAATGCTCTGTCCAACAAATATAAGACAAAACATTGAGTTCTTGTCATTAGCTTGTATTTGTACCGAAGCTGAATCGAATAAAATTTGGAGTAGCTGACAGCAATGTGTTGTCCTCCTAGCTTACACTGTCTATGATCACTGCTCACTTTGTAAGGAGCTATCATATTTGCCAGAAACCAAAATTCATCTTTACCAAAACGCAGCATATTTGCCCCATGTCTAGTGAATTAAGCCTATTGAAAGCCCAACAGGAAAGGAAAGAGGAATAGTGGATTAATAGCCCTTGGTAATATCATTAGCCCCTGGTGGCAGAAAATGGAAATGTAAAACATCACAGAAAAGAGTGATGATTTCCATTCTCAGGTCCTTTCCCCCTTCCCTCCCCTCCCCTCCACTCCCCTGCTTCACTTCCCTTCCCTCCCCCTCCCCTCCCCTTCCCTCCCTTCCCCTCCCTTCCCTTCCTTTTTCCTTTCCTTTCCCTTCCTTTCCTTCCTTCTCTCTCTTTCTTTTCTTTTTTCTTTCTCTTTCTTTCTTTCTTTCTTTCTTTCTTTCTTTCTTTCTTTCTTTCTTTCTTTCTTTCTTTCTTTCTTTCTTTCTCT